CTAGAACCATCTTGACTCGCCTGGCGACATTGGCAGCCGTCTTAAAAGAAATCTCACTCCCAGTCTCTTTGGCCATCTACAACTTGATAGTTTGAGCAAGTCCCTCAATAAACCTCCTCACCCTCTCTCTCTCTCTCTATCTCTCTCTCTCTCTCTCCCTCTCTCTCTCTCTCTCTCTCTCTCTCTCTCTCTCTCTCTCTCTCTCTCGGTAGGAAGCAAAAAAAATAGCATGACGGGCTAAATCAACAAATCGGGTCTCGTACCGAGAGACAGATATAGTACCCTACTGAAGATGCTCGAACTGGCTCCGATAGTTCTCTCTCAATATGACAGGAAGGAACTTCTCAAGAAATATCTAAGAGAACCATCTCTTGGCAGAACCCATCATCTGGATTACAGCAAAATCGACCCCATTGGTCTCAACTATCCCCATGTTCCGCAGCACCTTATGGTAGTGGTCAAGGTAATCCTGTGGGTCCTCAGAAGGTGCACCAATGAAGTAAATTAGGAAAAGCTTGGTAAACTTGTCCAATCTCAATAAGCCCTCAGAAGACATAGTTGGTCCATCACCGGCCTACGTTGCAACTGTCAGCTGAACTACCCTAACGGGCTGAGCTACTAAAGTCTGAAATTGGGGAGCCATCTGCTCCGGAGTGCGGGTAGTGGGAGTCTGTGCTCCTCCCCCAGCCTGAGAGATGGTTGGTGCCATTGGGGATGTGTCTGCTTGTGCCCCACTCTCCATAAGGCCCACTAAATAGACCAAAGCATCCTGAAGCACTGGGGTGGAGATGAACCCCTCCGGGACCTGAGCTGGTCCAACTGGCACAGTCTGGGCTGTAACCTCCTCATCGAACTCTACCTGAGGCTCCACTGCTAGTGCTGGTGATGTTGCTCGAGCTCTGGGATAAGCTCTGCCCCTGCCTCGTCCTCTAGTACGAACACGGCCTCGACCTCTTCCCCTCGTAGGAGCTACCAATAGAGGCTCTGGCTGCTGCTCTGGCTGCTGCTCGGCTGAAGATGCGGTATGTGTTCTCGCCATCTATGAGAGAACAAGAGTAGAAGAGTTCAATTAAGAGAACAAAATCACACGAAAAAAGAAGAATAAAAGTGAAGTTTGTTCCTAAACTTCATAGCCTCTAGAAGATAAGTACAGACGTCCCTAACCGATCTTACAGATTCTACTAAGCCTACTCGTGAATTGTTAGACCTAGGCAACCTAGTGCTCTGATACCAATTGTCACGACCCGGAATTCCCACTGTCAGGACCGTGACGGTGCCTAACATTTCACTTGCCAGGCAAGCCAACATTTGAGGATTCTTAAGTAAATTTCAGACAGTTTCTATAACAGGAACAATTAAGAAAAACAAAAGCTAAAACTATTTTGCGGAATAACATAACCCATAATATCTGATACATTTAGGATCTGGAGTCACAACTCACGAGCTACTATGATTTACTATGAATAGAGTCAGAAAGAAAGTACATTGTTCTAAAAGAAAAGAAACAGTAAAATAATAAGACTAGGAAGAGACTCCAGGGTCCGCGGACGGCAGCAGATCTACCTTGGGTCTCCTGACGAACAAGTCCAGTTGCTAACCTCCCGATCAGCTAGGGCCGGTATATAAATCTGCAAAATAAGTGCAGAGTGCAGTATCAGTACAACCGACCCCATGTACTGGTAAGTGTCGAGCCTAACCTCGACGAAGTAGTGACGAGGCTATGGCAAGACACATACAAAATAAACCTGTGCAATTTAACAGTATATGTACAAAATAACAACAAATAGAAGCTAGACAAGTAAATATCGGGAGGGGGACATGCTGAGGGGGAATACAAGATAAAAGAATCACCGCATCAATGATAACCGTAATAACCAATATGCCTTGAACCAATGAAAACAATTAAACACAGTAAAGAAAAGTGCACGACATCACCCTTCGTGCCTTTACTCTCAACCTCACCATGTAAATCAATAAAAATGGCACGACATCACCCTTCGTGCATTAACACTCACGATAAGGCACGTCATCACCCTTTGTGCATTAATACTCACAATATGGCACGACATCACCCTTCGTGCATTAACACTCTCAATATGGCACGTCATCACCCTTCGTGTATTAACACTCTCATAACATGGCACGGCATCACCATTCGTGCATTAACATTCTCTCTTACCATAAAGCAAGAAACAATTAACAACAGTGAGATAAAATAACGAGAACAAGCCTTACTTCAACATTTGGTTCCACCATACCAACCTCAACTATGAAATCAATATTCAATTATCACCAAGAACCCGTAAACATGATAAGAACGATCAGTTTAACAATTTGTTAGTTTAAGCATGGATAATATGACCAAGGAAAGCAACAATTACAAGAAAAGTCCCACCCTCATGCTATAACCCGACAACAACGCATAAGTACTCGTCACCTCACATATACGTTGTACCCAACATCTAAAAATGTAGCAAATAGAAAAATAAGTCCTAATCCCTCAAGTCAAGGTTAACCACGATGATTACCTCGCTCCAACGACCAAACTCAAAGCTCAACCACAGATTTGCCTTTCAAACAAGCCTCCGAACCAATAGAATCTAGAAATTTACCAACCAAACGTTTCAAATTAAGTTTTAGGAACTACTCGTATTGTAAAGAATTCAATTTAGGTCATTATTGAAAAAATCAACAAAACTCAACACCCGGGCCCGTTTAGTCCAAACCCGAATTTCGGACCAAAATCTAATTACCCATTCACCCCCGAGCCCGTTTATGTGATTTGTTTTAGAATCCGACCTCAATTTGAGGTCTAAATCCCTAGTTTACCAAATCCCTAATTTCTACCCAAAACCCCCCAATTCCACCATGAAAACTCTAGATTTAAGGTTGAAAACTTGTGAAATATAGTGAAAGATTGAAAGGAAATAGGTTAGAATCACTTACCAACGATTTCGGGAAGAAGGAGTCTTGGAAAAATCGCCTCTAAGATTTTAGGTTTTTGAAAATTTGAAGAATGAACCAAAAATCCCGTCTAAGTCATATTTTGTTCAGCTGCAGATGTCGCATTTGCGGCCCGGGCTTCGCAAATGCGAGAAATCCATCGCATTTGCGAAGACTCACACCTATGGAATCATCGCATTTGCGATGAAAAGTTCGCAAATGCGAACACTAACTGGACCGCAAATACGACCCAATGAACGCAAATGCGAAGAATCTTCCTCCCCAGCTCCCATCGCAAATGCGACCTCATGATCGAAATTGCGAACCTAGGCAGACCCTGGCACTCTTTACAGATGCAAAGAAATGGCTCGCAAATGTGAGAGTGACAGAAGTTGGAAATGTTCGCAAATGCGAACTCTGATCTCGCATGAAATTGCAGACACCAGCAAATGTTTTAAGTCCAATTCACTTTGTAGCCTATCTGAAACTCACCCGAGCCCTCGGGGCTCTAAACCAACTATGCTCACAAGTCTAAAAACATCATACGAACTTGCTCGCGCGATCGAATCGCCAAAATAACACCTAGAACTGCGATTTGAACACCAAATCAAATGAAATTTTCAAGAAAACTTTAAAACTTTTATTTTCACAACCGAACGTCCGAATCACGTCAAACTAACTCCGTTTCACACCAAATTTCACAGTCAAGTCATAAATATGGTATTGGACCTGTACCGGGTTCCGAAACTAAAATACGGACCTGTTATCCAAAAGTCAAACATTGGTCAAACACTTCAAATTTTGGTAACGCTTTAACTTTCAAATTTTGACAAAGTCCGATATCTCGGGCTAGGGACTTCCGAATTCAATTTCGGGCATACGTGCAAGTCCCAAATCACGATACGAACCCACCAGGACCGTCAAAATACGAATCCGGATCCATTTACTCATAATGTTGACCGAAGTCAACTCAAATGAAGTTTTTAGGCAAACGTTTTTATTTTTTATCAACTTTTAACATAAAAGCTTTCCGTAAACACGCTTTAACTTTCAAATTTCGACAAAGTCTGATATCTCGGGCTAGGGGCTTCCGAAATCAATTCCGAGCATACGCCCAAGTCCCAAATCACGATACAGACCCACCAAGACCGTCAAAACACGAATTCGGGTCCGTTTACTCATAATGTTGATTGAAGTCAACTCAAATGAAGTTTTTAGGCAAATTTTTTTATTTTTTATCAACTTTTAATATAAAAGCTTTCCATAAACACGCCCGGACTGTGCACGCAAATCGAGATGGGATAAAATGAGGTTTTTAAAGTTTAAAAGCGCAGAATTGGGTTCTAAAATATAAGATGACCTTTCGGGTCATCCCAGTTTTGATGGAACGTTTTGCATGATGAATTCTTGATACGTTTTGATATAATTGAATCATTGAATTTTTCTACTTGTTCAACTACATGCTTATTTTAGTTAATTGAAGAGCTCTCAATTAACGATGCCTATTTATTATGTATGGCTTAAAAAAGAGTACATATTTAGGTGGTTGTTGAACAACGTCACTCCTATCATATATGAGAGATCAATACGGCGAGTTTAAAAGTGGGATTAGAGATAACGAAGCGTTGGCGTGATCATAGTGAGCGGTGAAAAAGTGCGAGCTAGCGTAATTCGAGAGAAATGACTAGTACATTATTGTAGTTGCTCGAGAGAGAATTACGATAAGTGGAGTACTCACGATCAGCAGAGAATAATTAGGCGAAATTATAGAAGACGTAGCGGGTAGGATTCCGACAATTGGAGAAATCATAACTCTAGACCAATTTAATCTTGTCTCCAACACTTAGTATCTTTAGTTGTTAATTTACTATTTTAATTTGTTAGTTAACTAGTTAGACATAAGAACCTTGATATTTATAACTTGGGAAATTGTTCGAGCTTATCTTCTTAGTGATACTTAATAGTTACAGCAAAACTTTAGTTCTCTGTGGGATTCGACTCCGAACTCTTAGACGTATTATATTTACAGCGATCGCTTATTCTTATTAGGACTAGAGTTAGGCGTGACCAGACGTCAAATAGACGTCTTATCAAAAGAGAAGTGACATTAATGGACTGCAAAAGTCAAACCAATCTATCAAATACCAAAGACAACAGACAGATAGCACATGCAATTAAACATAGGCAACACTTGCTCTGACTGTACGAATAACTAGAATAGTAAAAATAAGAGAGCACAACTTAACCATCATTGGCGGAGACAAAATTCTAGCACTTGTCATCGGCAGCATTTCCATTTTTCACAGTCTCCATCTGTACGGCAGATTTAGACTTCCTTGGCTTGAACCATGTCGTAGCAATTAGGTAAAGTGCAAAGTTTATGACTCCTAATATAGCAAGAAGGCCATAGAAACAATCAAGCCTTGCGTAATTAATGTTGTCTGCAAGCCAGCCATCACCACCATTGCTTCCTGTCACCTTCTTGATAATAGAGACTAAGAAACTACTAAAAAAGAAACCAAGAGAAAGGGTTGTCAAGAAAAGGCCAGTGCTCATTGTTTTCATCCCTTTTGGTGACTGTGTTATGAAAAAGTCGAGTTGGCCGGTGTATATGAATCCTTCCCCAGCTCCAACCAAAAAGAATTGTGGGATCAAATAGAATACACTAATAGGTAAAGTTGACATGTTTCGCCCCACAGATTTTGCCACTGACAACCTTTTTAAATCAACTATAGCAGCTATTGCCATTCCCATAGTAGAAAGCACAAGCCCTATGGCTATTTTTTGTAGGCTGGTAAAACCTGCATGCAGCAAGCCATGACTTTTCAGCTCTCAACTGATATTAATGGAAGACATTCAATAAAACTGCTATATATAGGTTTGATTTAACTAGTTGTAAAGAAAATATGAGGAGGGTGCAATATATAATATTATGTACATGTTCAGAGTGATCAGTACCTGGTTTTCCCTTCAATTTCTGCCAGAGTGGCATGATAAATCGGTCATAAATAGCCAAAGAGATTAAGATGGCAGACACAAAGAAGACAGTAAGAGAGCCTGCTGGAATTTGGAATTTGCCAACTGATCTATCCATGGTGGCAGCTTGTTCGACTGAAAATGTAATCATTTGTGCATAAGTTGTCCAGAAAAGGATAGTTGTGGCCCAAATTGGAAGTAGCCTAGCCATCATTTTTACTTCCTCCACCCTGGTCACTGTGCACAGCTTCCATGGATTTGGAGCAGATGTATCAAAATCTCCTTGTGCTACAATTGCAGCCTTGTCCAGAAAGCGGAATTGTTCACTATGTTGGATTCTTGAAGACACTGGATTGGTCTCGTAAAGCATGCTTACATCATAGGGAACATCCATATTCCTTTTCCTTGAAGCTGCTACTATGACTTGAAATATTTGGACTATAGGACTTCCTGAGCTTTTCTTGTAGCGGTACATTCTAGTCCCAGAAAAAAAGATTACGATTGCAATTAACATGGAAATGCAGCAAATACCATAAGCCCAGCTTCTTCCTACTTCATCTTGAACGTAAACTAGCACTGTAACTGCAGCCAAAGTTCCCATGCTGATGAATAAGAAGAATCTGTTAAAGAAATAGGCCATTTGCGACTTTTCCTTCTCGTCCTTATCATCAAATTGATCTGTTCCAAATCCAGATACACTAGATTTTAAGCCACCAGTACCTAATGCTATTAGATATAAAGCTAAGTATAGAATTCCCATCTGGAAGCCAGTTGCTGGTTTGCACTTCTCATGAGGATGGCAAGGATGCGGCCTCAGCTGTGGCAGGCCCGTTGCCAGTGTTAACATGCCAGTTCCCTGATGAGTTTCACAGCATAATTTAACATTAAAATAAATTACTTTTATAATTATGTCAAAATGCTGAAACTTAAAGAACGTGGCAGTAGGTATTTACCAGTGATTGTATGATTGCAAAGATTGCAATGGTTTTGTATCTGCCAAGGAAAGAATCAGCAAGAAAACCTCCAAGGAGGCAGAGAAGAAACGCTGTGCCCATAAAATCTGTCACAATATTTGCTGATGCTGCACTTGGTAGATGCATCACTCCACCCAAGTATGTCACTAAATTTACTGCTATTCCCATTGTTGAAAGCCTTTCATTGATTTCAATCCCTGTCAAATTTAATTTAAAACAAACTTATGTATAACCCTCCAACATTAATTTATATCACGTCTAACATGTCTTGTTAATTTGGTAGCATGAGCAAACACCTAATTCGAAGTTTCTTTCTTGCTTATTTATCTACCAGTTTATTTTATTCATTGTTAAATGAGATGTAATAATTTATTTTTTGCCTTTTTATATTATTTTGGCATGTAACACTAATTTTTTTATTATTCTTGCAGTCGTCCCGGTAATATTAGATCTTTAGAATAACATGAACTGCCGCTTAAAGAGAAGATCATTGGCACCTCCCACATGCCAAGAAATGTATTTATTTCTTCTCTCGTTCTTTTACTTTTCCCCCTTTTACCTACCTAGAGAATTAGTTATTTTCCATATTAATTAAATTTTACATATAATGCTAAGTTAAAATAAGAAAATAAATATTAATTAAACATTACTATTTTATAAAGACTCATTAATTTGGAATACTAAAAGGTGCATGAAGAAGCAATTAGCTCAAAATATGACAACAATTTCTCATAAATGAGGCTATTGTAATTTTTTTACCAAATTTACAATAGGGTAATATAAGCATTTTTAGAAACGGAGAAAGTATCCTTGAAGTCCACCGTTGGTTACTACCCGCGTGACAGTTTTGATATGTGAAATAGGTTTCTAGACTTTCTCATTTTCTTTTTTCCTTGAGTTTCTTTCTTATTCACGATGTAGTCTGCTTTAAAAGATAATTTATTTATGAACCAACTGTTTTTGTCTAATTTCCTTTTACTAATTATGCGTAGAGGAAGAAATACTAAATTTTATAATCATGGCACAAGACGACTAATATTTGTTGACAAAATCTACTATGTTATGGAATGAGAGCTAATCCATCAAATCTATATCTATACTATATTAAAAGTACGAAGGCCCTTAGCGAAATATCGTTCGCCTTTTTTACCCTTTAAAATAGAATTTACAATGGACAAAATAGTCATTTAATTATTTTCCTAATATTTATGAGACATTAATTAAACATTGTATATTTACTTCCTTATAATTTGAACTATATGAAACTTCTAATATTTAGAAATTTAATTCACCTAAGGATTTTATATCGTTAAATTTCTTAATATGGTATCCAAATCAGTCTAGAACTCTTTACCTCTAATAAATATGCCTAAAAGTACTTCTAATATGGTAATACGAGATAATTATAGTTTTCCTCTCTTATTCAATCTCTCTTGCCCTTCTTCAGTTATACTCTTTTCTTTCTAATAGCCTTTCACGAGAGATACACTTTTAGTTTTTTTTCTCTCCATTTTAGCTTCTTATTTTAGTTGTTGGAGTCGTATTTTCAAGTAAATTTGTTAGAAATTTATGATGCATTGATTTTTTTGTAGAAGAGATTCAGATTCTCGAATTTAGTCAATTATATTAATTTCATAATTTGTTGGGAATATTGCTGAGTATTTAGTTAGAAATCCTTTATTGGAGATGGATTATTTTATTTTGATTAGAAGTTAATTTTGCTACAGGTTTAGAAGAAATCTACCTGCAGATTGTAGGAGTTCAACAAGCACTTTGCATTGGTGCATTACGGCAAGTAAAGGACTTATCATCTTGTATGCCAATTAAATTTATATCATAAATTGCAATTAGTTTCTTCAAACTATAATACTTATTTTCATCTTGGTGTTCTTCTGCCGCATATTTTCATGCAAATACGATTATGCCTTCCAAAAAGTCATTTCAATTGAAGACTTTATTTATGATATGTAGTGATTCTTATTCTTTGAGATTTATAAAGAATTGTCATTTTTTTTAACATGTCGTGCATGGGTAATTCTTCACCTAATTGATTTTTAACTATTTGAAATAGAATTCTTATTGAATAAAATATAATTAAATATTTAAAATTTGATATGAGCTAATTAATATTATTTATCTTTTTAAGTTTGCAACCGCACAGCCTATTATTTTTTGGCAATATTATTTATACAGCATAATTTGCCAACATTATACCATTATTATAATCTATCTTCTATAATATACTAAAAGCACGAAGGCCCTAAGCGAAATGTTGTTTGCCATCCTTTTAAAATAGAGTTTATAATGAACAAAATATCAATTGATTATTTTCCTAATATTTGGCATTAGTTATTTTAATTGATTTCCTACTATTTAGGAGTAGTTACCTTTTAGATTTAGTTTTTTTTTTTTTTTTTTTTTTTTTTTTTTTTTTTTTAATGAACTAGGAAATTTCGTATATTTTGACATAAGTAAATTTTTTTACTCTTAGTTATTTAATTGTTATATAAATTATTTTCTTATTTGTTGTAATTTTGAGGATTAGTTATATAAATCTTGTGAGTACAAATAAATTTACAATACACCTAAAATTAATTTAATTGATCGCTGCATAATAAGGTTCGTAGAATTTAAATATGCATTCTTTGTAGTGAGTACAACTTTTGGTAACTGAAAAAGAAATATGATAACTTATGAAATTTATTTGGTGCAATTATAAAAGTATACATTTTCTTAAGTTGAGAATAATGACTAATGACTGAGGACTTCTTTTTTTGTATACGCGCAACGCGCGTACCCTAAGACTAGTACTATATTAAAAGCACGAAGTCTCTTAGCCAAATGTCATTCGTCTTTTTTACCCTTTTAAAATAAAGTTCACACTAAACAAAATAGTCATTTAATTATTTCCCTAATATTTAGTATTTTGAAGTCAACTAAAACATTACTAAGTTTTCCTTATTTGAACGACTACACAAAAAAATCTAAGTATATATCAAAATCAATTACATTTACCATATACAATATTGTAATATTATAATACTAAAAATATGAATGTTTACGTGTTATATTTCCTAAGAGGATGTGCATATAATTAATGGAAGGAAACAGCCGAACTTATAATAGAATAGCCCGACCATAATTTGAAACCTAACAAAGGCAGCAAAATTTTGATATTAGAATCAGTGGCGGATCCAGGATTTTATGTTCGTGGGTGCTTAAGTTTTCTTGGTGTGTAGTAATTACTTAATTTTTTGGTTGGTAGGTGCTTTCTTTTCCTTTTATATCAGATGCCTCAAATTTCTTATATAACTATACCTATGCTGTGTAAAGTTTAATGGTTGCTGAAGCACCTAAATTTAGTATGTAGCTCCGCCCCTGATTAAAATAGCTATATAATTAAGCTCTTAATTAACTGATTAAAAATATTCAATTTAATTATTTTTAACTTCATCATAGTTGAAAGAAAACTTGACGATTGTTCTTCAGGTTCAAATAATCTAATTTAAGAGGAGATAAAGAGATATATCAATACGATCTTATCATTTTATTTATTTATATTAAGCATATGCTAATTAATTCAAATATTAAAAAGACAATTAAATAACTTTGATAGGCGGGGACAAAGCGAGAAATCATAATAAAGCATATGAGAATTTATGTAGGACATGATTTTTCTCTTAAGCTAGCTAAATAGGATTAATATTCATCATTTTTAGGATCTTGCATTTTTTTACTATAATTTTTTTAATAACTCATATACATTGGTTAATATGGATATGCAATATTTAAAAATTATATATTCATGACAATAGAGTACACGCGCTAGTTGCCTTAAATATGAAGACAGCGACTTGCCATATTATCGTACACCTTTTTTGTAAGTGGGAAGCCTTCTGTTTTATCCCCTTATAATTTTAATTGGTTTTTCTTTTTCTTTTACTATGTCTTTTCTTTTGTTTCCTGTCCTTTTTACCTTTTTTTTAAAAATTTGTATATGAGAAAAACGAGAAAATTGACAATTGAACATAAGTCTCAAACAATTCATATAAAAAAAGTCTAGGAAAAAAGACCTTAGAGGAAGAAAAGATATGGAGTGATGTCTCAGGTTTATATCCCTAAAATATTTTGCACCCGAAGGTACGATTTTTGCATTACAAAGTTTCAAAAAATTCATAAAGATATTTTTTTTAATTAAAATTATGTATTTTTTATTTTTTTAAACCACGCGAATCGCGGATAATTACACCAGTTATTCTGTAGAACAAAGGAAGTGAAGCATCAGGATTATGAGAAACAAAAAGAAAGTAAAAAGATACAGTAAACGCATCCCGGTTAAAGAAAAATAAAAGAATAAGAATAGAATAAAGCAAAATTTTCACATGAAATTAAGAGAATGGATGTTACATGTGAATGAAATGGGACAATGCTTAAATAATTGTCAAAAGCTGTTTTAATAATTAAGTAGTAATAGTATCTTTTCACGTGATCTACAGAAATTGGATGTCACATGTGAGCTCCGAAATGAGGAAACAGGATGATGCTTAAATACTGTTTATGTCTCCTTACATATGATCTGTCATGCAGAAAATGGCATGACCATTATCATTTATAAACTTTTTTCCAAAGATGGTCCCACGATATAAAATTTAAGTTATACTATATACATATATACTTGGTATGTTATTGTTGTTGACTATATACATTTACTAGTGTAGTTATTAATCTATGTTTAATATAGATTTTGTTTACCCCGTACTAGGTTCTAAATAGTCCGGGAGATTGACACCCTATTTGGCCAAAGCTTATGGGAGGCAAAATATACTCCCTCCGTTTCAAGTTATGTGATACTAGTAAATCATTGCATAAAGGTAAATTGTTTCCAAATAAGGAAATGAGTCATTCTTTTTAGCATGGACTAAAAATGAAATAGGTTCACATAAATTGAAACGGAGGGTGTACTTTTTTTGGCGAGAAAAAGTACTTATTTAGAAATATGAAGTGTTTGGCCAAAATAGAAAAGTGCTTTTAAGCTGCAACAGAAACAATTTTTCTACTTTTGGAAAAACCCTACAAAATTTTAGTTTCTGCCAAGAAGCAGAAGCAGAATTTTCTTTTTCATGACAAAAATATCTTTGGCATAAAGTTATATTTCCTAAATTATTCCTTATCAATTTAACCTTTACTTTTTTATCTTTCTCTTTTTTTTTTTCACCGTATTTTTATTCTTCTTCTCTTATTATTATTTGGAATAATCTCTCTACTTTAAATAGATCTTTTTTTTCTCTTTCATCATATTTCTTCTTTTCTTCGTCTTCTATTACTCTTTGAAATAACAAAGCTAATCATAAAACAAGCATTTTTTTCATAATGTATGGGTTTTTTTTTCTTTTGTAATATACCAATATTTATATGATCTCTAGTTTGTAATATTTTCTTTTTTGGCGTGCATGCATATGTTGACATAGTGCAATACTATTTAGTTTGTTGTTTTCTCAAGAATTACATGTAACTTGCTAGCACATATGTTCCTACCAACATTATTGCTTTTATATAGTTATATTTTATATTGATTAAATCTTTAATATATATTACTTTATGTTTTATGCTTTACTTACATAAAAATATAAATTAATTAAGTTCTTCTATCATATATATTTTTGAAATACTTTCTAAAATTATGCTAATAGTAAAGTAAATTTTTACTGTCTTTTATCGTAATTTTGCACTCAAAAGGACTTTTTTGAAAGATTGGCCAAACGTAATTTGCTTATCAAAATCGCAAAAAGTACTTCTCAAACGAATTGGCCAAACACAAAATGCTTATCTTTAAAAATAATTTTTTCGAAAGCACTTTTGAACAAAAGTATTTTTTAAAATGAGTAGTTTTTGGCAGCTTGACCAAAGGAACTTGAAAATCATTATAGTATTTGAGTATATAACCTTAAACCCACAAAATATGGAATATGATGTATTTCCACTCCTAACAGAGGGGAAAAGTTGTGATACATACTCCGAGTATATTGATTATGGTGGACCTTTATTTCATCGTATTTGCCTGAATCACCTGTTTTTCATCCTTCCATGAACTAACCTGAAGAGCCTCAAACCCACCCAGGCCGCCCCTACTATATAAAGAAGTGTTAAGTTTTGCTAATAAGAGCTGGTTAGTATATGTCTTAAACATGAGAAAACATTGATGTTTCGTTAGCTAAACTCTTTAACTGTTATGAACAGAAATAATATATAGGCGTTCAAACTGCCTATCGACAAATGAAAATTCTATATATGTGAAATACTTGTTGATTATATATATATATATATGTGCAATAAGAGGGATTTAATTAATTACTAACCCAGGACAAGAGCAGCAGGAACCCAACCACCAGTTTTAGATCTATCAGCAGGGAGACCCTTGTAGTTTACAGCGTCTGCAACTGTCAAGCTCATCTTTCCCTCCTGTGGGGTGGAAACAAATTATTGGACATAAAAAATAATAATATTGAATCTCCATTGACTAAGATAAAAGTGAAGATTCTGCAATGATGGTTTCAACTTCTACTAACCATTATTTCTTTTCCAACTGTCTCAACCGTATTGAAAAGAGCTCATAAAACTGAAAAGAAAAGCCTAATTAGGAAACTATATGTTGTTATTGAACTCCTTAATTACTCTGCTAGCTCTTCTTAGCAGTCACACTTAGTTTGCTTAGAAGTCCTGTCATTTTATAGGCAAAGACTTCTCACTCTGAAATGACCCCCACTACAATATTAAGTACTGTTGCTTCGTTGGGATTAGGCCTATCCCATTTTAAGATGTAAGGTTCTCAAGGTTGATATTTTAAGGTGAAAATGGTAATGTGAATTTTAAAGTTGATGTTGATTTGGTGATATTGGTGGGAAAGAAAGGGAATCTGGAACATGCAATACCATTAAGGTTTTGGAGGTTGTGAACCACAGTGAGGCGGCCATGCATGCCTCATTCTTGAATCCTAAGTGCTTTTGCTACCCCACAAGTACCACCTTTAATTTTGTTTTCCACCATTGTCTTCTGTATGAACAAGAAAATTACATTACCTATATACAATACGTGGGACAGAAAACTACTGTAGATAATATTCCCTATGAAAACAGAATCTACTTATTTGTATATTTGCTTTCTCGATCTTCTTCTTTCAACATGTTGTGTCATTTTCAATAAAGAGAAATACAGAAGACCTCATGGAACGATGGATGTGTATTGATCGAACAAGTGCCAGAGAGTTAACCATAGCTTCAAATTATTAAAGTTAAAGTCAATGTACATCATTATTGTCTTGGGGAAATTAATTAGTGGTCATGGCTTAGCCGAAGTGGATAGCAGAAAGTATTGTTGAGAAGATTTGACACGGATACTTTGTTCTTCAAATCAAATAGGCTACTTAACAACTTATTTAAAATAACTGTATGGAAGTCAATGTCCCGGTGTGTGTGTGGGGGTGGGGGGGGGGGGTGTTGGTGGAAGCGCCTAGCTAGCTGAAGCTACTTAAAACCTTAGGCATATACTATGTTTTTTTTACTAGGTAAAGGTTAGCCCGTGCGCATAAATCAAGCTCATTATTGACTTAACTTTATTTTTTGCTAATTTATATTGTTTGACCAAAAATATAAATCTTGGTTCAACCAATTAGATTTAAATAAAGAAGAGTTAATCTTAGTTAATAATAATATCCTAAAGACAAAGCTATCGGTGCTGTGATAAATAACTTGTACATTTTTCCGGATGACAATGAATATAAGCAATAATAACAGTATTCAATTACCCAAAAAGATGGAATATGATATTAAATAGTACTAATAAATAGGGATAAGTGGCATTTGAGTAAATAAAACGTATGAGTCGCCCGAAAAGGGATGAGATCAGTGGATATTCTCTCTGACAATGATGAATGATTGATAAGCCTCTGAATACTTAGGTTGTTCTTGGATCCAAAGGAAATGCTAGACAAGAATGTTAGTAAAAGGTTGTTTTCGTATGCTTGCAATAGTACCAGATTCTTTCTATAAAGTCAATGTATTTTTTTAAAAATGAATATCTCACATCCCCTATCATTGTGTCTCTTTCTATTTATAGGGAACATATTTCTAGAAACCCTAATAGTATAGGTGTAGAGAATATCCACTAGAATATTCTCTTTAGTGTCCTATCTTGAAAATAGATGTTATAACTCTGTCAAGGATGTTCGACCTCGATCTTGATCTTTCTGAAAGTCAACAAAATTCAACCCGGGCCTGCGTGCCCAAAATTAGAAACCAATACCAAAATCCAATGACCCATAACTTTCCGAGTCCAAATATGTGATTACTTTCCAAAATTCGAGTTTAAATCGGTGTTCAAAACCCCAAAATGTACTTTCTTATCTTGTAGATAATATATATATATATATATATATATATATATATATATATATATATATATATATATATATATATCAAATCCCAGTAGAAATTACGTACCCACAAAGTAGTGATGAAAATCTTCTAGAAAATTGCCTCTTCCCGAGCTCCAAAACTTTGTGTGAAAAGTGACTAAATCCCGAAACAAGTAATAGAGCAGTTGTTCCAGCTAAAATCAGATGCTAGATGTAATGACCCGGTTGATCGTTTTGAGAATTACCATTTCTTTCGGTGGTTTGAGGTCCTGAGTAGTTTCATATGATGTATTACAACTTGCGTGCATCATCGGTTTTGGTTTTTGAGTGGTTTGCGATTGATTTAGAAGAATGGTTCTCAATTTAAAAGCTTTAAGTTGGAAGAGTTGACCAAGTTTGACTTTTGTGTATTTGACCTCGCACTGGAATTTTGGTGATTTTGTTAGGTCTGGATAGTAATTTTAGACTTGGGCATATGCTTGGATTATTTGACTGGAATTTGACTTCGATGTTATCGGGTTTGAATTATCGTTCCGGGAGTTGGAGTATGTTCGTTTTGTCATTTGGAACTTGTGTGCAAAATTTAAGGTGATTTCGAATGGTTTAGACGTGTTTGGCGTATGTTTGGAATTTGAAAATTCGAAATAGTTCATTAAGCTTGATTTGAGGTGTGATTCATGGTTTTGCTGTTATATTATGATATTTGAGGACTCAAGTAGGCCCGTGTTATGTTTTGTGACTTGTTGGTATGTTGGATGGGGTCCCAAGGGGCTCGGGTGAGTGTCGGGGTGGCTTCAGACCATTTTCTTTCATGTTTGCATTGCTGGTGTTCCCTGATATAGGTGTTGTGTTCCTTCTTCACGATCGTGAGAGGAAGACCATGATCACGATGTGTAAGTTGGAGCTAGGTATTTTCAAGACTGGACAGTAGCGTTTGCGGAAGTTTAGGGGGCTTGAGCATCGTGTTTACAGAGATGGTGTTGGCCCAAGTAAAGGTTAGTTTTGAAGACTGACAAAGGAACTCAGACATGAACCAGGTCCATCCAGTGGTCCATCCTTCAGGTTCACAAAAACGGGCAGATTCAAGCATGTGGGATGCACGTGAAGGAGATAAGCTTAACTTGGTGTATTTAATATCTCCTGATCGAAAAGGTTGCATAATTGATAAGGAGAAGGAGTCCTTAATCAAAGAGAACACTATTCAAGATAGGGAAGGAGTTAGAAGTTGAAATCAACTAGAACTCTTCCACCAAGGAAGAGTTGCATCAGAACTCTAGTTATTTCTTCATCTACTAACTCTATAAATTGCAGGATGTTCTCACATTAAAGTGTTGCACAAAAACGCAGAAGTTAAACGTGAATTGGGAGCAAAATAGCAAGGCTTTTTGCAAGCAGTTCGTGTGTGATTCAAGTGTGCAAACCAGAAGCTACATGAACCAGATTGAAGAACCAGCTCCATAAAGAGTTTTATGTGTCTTTCTTTATTTCTAGTTCAATTGTAGTAGGTGTTTCATATTGTACCTTTCAGCTTTATCTAGAAGCAATTGTAATAGGTATTTTGAGTATTCAAGTTAGAGTTAACTTGAAGTTGTCGCGGCAGTTAGAGGCTGGTTGCTACAATGGGATTAGAGTTAATCCTTAGGTTTACAAAGAGTTTTGTAAATGCAGTTTTTGGCTCAGTGATTTTAGTGGAGTTTGGGAAAATCCTACTGAGTAGTAGGTCGTGGTTTTTTTCACCTTTTGAGCCAGGTGTTTTCCACGTAAAAATCTCTGTGCACTTTACTTTCAGTATTTATTATTCCGCAAACTGCTGTAGTTAGAACACTTGGAAGAACCAGGTTCTTCTAACGCGAAAATTAGGTACCACACAAATCACCCCCCTTCTTGTGTGGTATTGACGTTTATAACATCAATTGGTATCAGAGCAGGTTATCCTTGAAGAGGCTAACACCTTAGGAAAAGATCAACATGAGTGCACCACCTAGGAACTGGGAAGGGCAATCCACTATTAGGCCTCCACTTTTCAATGGTCAGTACTATTCTTGGTGGAAGAACAGGATGAGGGATCACATCATAGGAGAAGACTATGAACTCTGTGACATAGTCACTGATGGTCCTCTAGCAACTACAAAGAAGAATGCTGAAGGAGTGGATGTGCCAAAAACTAGAGCTGACTGCACTACTGAGGATTTAAGAAAATGGGAGAAAAATGCTAAGGCCAAGAAATGGCTTGTGTGTGGACTTGGTCCAGATGAGTACAGTAGAATTCAAAGTTGTACCACTGCTAAGGAAATCTGGGATACTTTGCAAGTTGCACATGAAGGAACACCTCAAGTGAAGAGGTCCAGAGGAACACTGCTGTATTCTCAATATGAGAATTTTACTATGAAGGATGGAGAAACTATCCAAGAAATGTATACCAGGTTCACTACACTGACAAATGAACTTGAGTCTCTTGGAAGGATTATCCTGGAAGAAGACAAGGTGGAGAAGATTCTAACTAGAG